CTTTCAATAGACAAAACCGTTGTGAGGTTATATTCCCATGCGAGAACTTCTCTATCCTGCCGGAGAAAAGATATGCGGAGATCAATTCCATTCGGACAGCTTAGCATCTATCTTCCTTAACATGCAGCAGCAGCTTTTGCTCCACGGTTACCCACAGTTCACATCCAGTGAAGGCGCTCCGTATCTTGCCCATGTAACATGTTTATAATTAGTATTAGGGACATTTTATGTATGTAGCTTGATCACCACATCCAAAGATGAAAGTTGTAGTTTGCAAAGAGCAGATCAAAGGAGATAGAAGCAACAGTTAACCAGTTCAGAAGGAGGCAACCAACAGCCAGCCGAGAAAAGAAAAAGAAAAAGCTCAGAAATATTGAAAACATAAATGAGAATAAAGTTGCGAAATCAACGCATGACGGACAGGAAAAGAGGAAAAAGAAAAGGAGACAAAAACGCCAACAAGAATTAAAGTTGTAATTAATTAGCCGATTTTAAGAGAACAACAGGGTTTCTTTTTCGGTTCTTTTTCGGGGGGGGGGGGGGGGGGGGGTTTGTTTTTTGTTTTTTTTTAGTTTTTTTTTTTTTTTTTGCGCCTTGCAATATATGTGCGTGTATATGCTCCCAACTGACAAGCAGATTGCGCCAAGAAATGAGATTCAAAACCAGGAAGACGAGAAGATCTTTTTTTTTTTGAAGTTGAAGAACAAAATGGCTAGTACAAAAGCAAGAGTTTACCGTAAGCTGATCCATGATGATGAAAATGGCATAAATGTGCAAAAAGAGTTCCTCAAATAAATGCAAAAGTATGGGTTGAATGGGACAGCTGCCAAGTTCGGAGCGAAGGTGTGTACAAAATGTAGCCTCTGAATGAAAAGCGCGAAAATGAGAGTTAGGTGTTGATGAGGCAAGTGTATGCTAGGTTAATAGGTAGTATATACTATACGGGCTCGCCGGTCCCGTTTGCCGTGGCGAGAGAGGTATAATGACAAGGCGTTCACGTAATTTACGGATGTCGATATTATGGCATGAGATATATGTGGGATATCCTAAAAAGATTTTTACGATCAAAAGAGATTATTGGGTGAAAAAGCGGAAGATGGTGAATCGTTAAAATGTCCGGGAGATCTAAAAAGAAAAATTAAAAGATCATGAATCTTTTATTTTTGCCTTGCTTGTCTCCTACAGCGTTATATTGATTAATTAAACGGATAACTAGACCAAACTCTCATGCAATTTGCTTACCTGGAGATTCGTTAGGCTGTCTTGCTTTGCCGCGACCTCGCTTGGAAGCCATGGAGGGGTCAGCCCCAGATGCTGCTGCTCTGATTGCCGCGATGCGCTGTTTCGCCCGTTCATCTCCGTGGTCAGCAGCCTTAACGTACCAAACATTGGCTTCCAGAGGATCGCGGCGGCATCCAATGCCCATTTCTGTGAAATAGCCAACGGCATACTCCGCCTTCGGAAGGCCTTAAACCGGATTGTACAACGTCAGCTCTCAAGTCCATTTATTTGGGAATAGTGCTTGATTCTATTTTACGCATGTGAAGGTGTGAAGGGCTTACCTAATTCTGCAGCTCTTCTTGCCCACTCATATGCCTCACATTCATCCTTAGAAAGCAATGGTTCTGCGCCGACCATGAACCAGGCACATAGCGCCATCATCGCCAAAGCATGTCCTTGTTGTGAAGCACAAGTGTAAAAATGCACGCTGAGCGCTGGATCAACGGGACAGTTCAATCTACCGTGTTCGTAAGCGTCACCCATGCGATAGGCTGCCTCAGCATGGCCCAGCTCTGCAGACTTTGTGAATAATTGTGCGGAGTACGTCTCATCTTGGAACACATCGTCTCCATATCCCGTTTCATGAAGCAAACCGAGTTCGTAAGGAGCAGAATTGTACTGACGATCCGCAGACTCTGCGGCTCGTTTAAGCCACGTAATACCTTCCCTATATCGCTTTACGAGACCCATCTCCCCATTTAAACATGCTTTTCCTAACCTTAACATCGCTCCGGGATGGTTCTTCGATGCCGCTTGGCGGTAAAATTGGACAGCCTTTGCGCCATCCTGTCGACTCCCAAGGCCAAATTCATAACATAGAGCAGCTCGGTACCCAGCCTCAGCATGCCCGTGTTTACTAGCAGCGATGAAATATGGGAACGCTTTATCGTCGTCTTTCTTCCCTTTGTTAAAAAGACCGGAGGCGAGGCCATCTGCCAGATAGTATTGAGCGTAAGGATAGCTACGGTCGGAAAGGCGTTGGAGGATGTTTTTAGCTTCGCGTAATAGATCAGCCCTAGATATGTCTTCCGATTTCTCGGGTCTCGGTGAGTCGTTGGGGTTTTGGTCGTCTTCTTGTTTTTGGCTGGCGTTAATCATGAACACCGCAAACTCGAACTGAGCACCTGGGTCGTTCGTCTTCTTAACGTTGGCCAAATACATGTCAAAGGTCTGTTTGTGACTGAGAAGAGATGCATTGTTTCCAACCGATGGACGGAGATGGTCGTGGCTCAAGGTTTTCGGACCTGGCGGGGCTTGAGGGTAAGGTACATTAAGAAGGTCAACAAAAGAAAGGGGTCGTGTATCCGGAGATGCTGTTGAATGTGCGGAGACGGCGCGGGCATGCACATGGGGGGAGAGGTTTGGGGAGCGGCCTCGTGCGGCGAGGTCTGACATGGACGAATATGCTGAGACGGGTCGCTGGATTCCAAGTCCAAGATGTGGTCCTCGGGTTGGCGTCAAGTATTCTCCGTGAGAATAGACTCCTGGTCCCGGTTCGCCGCCTGAAGAGGAATCAGACGCGGACCTCAGCGTTCTTTTTGATACACGATTTCCATTTCTATCTAAACCACCCTCTTCATATGTCTGGTGATGATATTGCAACGGTTGATATACCTCATTCTCCTGAGGGAGGCTTTCAATGCTCCCTCGTGACGAACTACCTTGGCTCGAGTTCTGAGCAATGTTATACGGCATTTGTTGAGATTGGTCATAACGGAGAGAATCCCTGCGCTCGGGGACGTTTCGTGGAGATTCTGATACACTGTTCGAAGGCATATGGCGACATGGGGCCTGGTGAGAAGGGAGGGCATAAGTTGTGGAAGAGAGGGAGCTCCCGCGTTGGGGAAGTTGAGTCTTGACGGATTCTTTCAGTGTCGACTCTTCCTTTTGCCACGAGTCTTGACTAAGGGTTCTCACATCCTCGATTTGGGCACTTGTAGCTTCCGGGAGAGAGCAAGAGTTATCGATTACCACTGGAGAAATTGGAGAATTGTGGATGACGGCGTTGTGGGAGACTTCTAGCGCGGCTAGCTCGATAGGTTTTCTCTTGGGGACCGCGGTGAGCATCAGTTTCAGTTTTTCATTGAGAAGGGGCGGTGAAGGTCGCAGGGGAGGCCGAGGAAATTCCTGTTGGCCAAGGGCTGGAGGTGGTGAGGATTTGATGTAGGCTGGAGCTGGAGATAGAGGGGTAAGGGTGTGATGTCCTCTTTCTGGGGTTATAGTGTTCGCCATGCCCGCTGACGTCGTCGGTTGCATTGCTGTTGTGAAATTCTAGGTAGGTATCGGAAGATTAAACTCCCGCTACCCTACACCAGGTCTTTGTTCTCAAAAAAAAAAAAAAAAAGAAAGGAAAGGAAAAGGAAAGGAAAGGAAAGGAAAAGGAATAAAATAAGAAGGAGAGGGAGGAGACCGACGTTTGCTGCACTGAATATGGTGGCTGTGAGGGGTAAATTGCGTGTGGTAAATCTGAAATGATGCGACTGATGGAATACGTAGCCACTACTTCTACTGAAGTTGTTTGGGAGGATTTGGTGGTGCAAACGAGGTTCGAAAGACGGAAAATTTTATAAATTCATGTAAATACTCGACGGGAGCTGAAGCCTGTATCTTATCCCACGGCCTCACTGCCTGTATGTAAAGACAATTTAAATCTGGTTGTCAGTAACAGAGGGTTGTTAGAGAATGCCTGTAGGCAGCGCCCCACGCCCGTCGGGGAGAACTTACGTTGCAGGGATCTCCATTAAATTGCCATCCCAGGACACCGGAAGAAGATCTCACGATCAAAAGTAAGCGCAGTTCCCGCTCTAGAAGTATTTGCTAATAATGTCAGGTTTCTTTTGTCGTTGTTCCTTTGGGCGGGTCCCTTTTCGTTGAGACAGCGTATGAAGAACGGGTGGGTTGTGCAAGAGAGGAGAGAAAAATCCACCTTTGTTGGGAGGGGTGAACAAGGGACCAGTGGATTTTATTCAACGTTCTGCATAGCTATTTGTCCTTGACATATATGGTATCAATGTGGGTTCCAAGGGTTGTCAAGCTCTCCTTCAAACACCCAAGTGGAACCGCCGCACGATTCGAGACCCTTGGACGAGTGTGGGTTTTACACAGAAAATGAAGGAAGGGAGAGAGGATGCAGGATTGAGAGGACAATTAAAAAAAAAATAAATAAAAAAAATTTGATTGTTATTCACCGTCACAGACAGCAGGAATCACTTTATCAGCAAGCAGGAAGAAGTAGTGGTCTTCCACAATGGCTGGTCGTTGAAAAGATGGCGGATATGGGAGACCAAAACAAGGGAGATTGGGCCAAGGATTCAGATCACAAATGTTCATTGGCAGGCGTCTCAGGTCCTGATTTCCGGGGATAGCCAGGATGAGGTCAGAGCAGGGATTAGCGAGAGAATATGACGTCGCGTGAAACAAAGGTAGTGGGATGACTGTGATGAAGATCAGCTTGCTGATAAAGAGCAAAAGACAGAAAAGCAAAAAGATGTGAAAAGCGCGCGCGCGAGAGAGAGAGAGAGAGAGAGAGAGAGGGTATGATTTAGGGGGGGAGGAGAAGAAGAAAGAAGAGACAACGACAAAAGCCCAAAATCGGGCCGATGGATTGGGATTAGCCTTGGGCCTGACTTCGATGCGGCTCGCTGTGGCTAAATTGCCCACGGTTCTCAGCAGCACCAGCCGCAAGTTACGACGCAGAAGTTATTTTTACAATTAGATTTATGAATAGCTTTTTGCTCTTGCTTCGTAACCCAGACGCCAAAACCCAGGTTTGCTTTGCCTGCTACGGGGTCCCCAGCAGGTGGGCTCTTTGGTCCCAGGATTTCTACAATTCTTCTCTTCCTCCTGGAGGGCGTGATGGACGTGCAAGCAGGCCTTCAATGCTCGCCTCCGTCACCTGGGTCTGGCCTGGTTGGCTTGGTTTGGCTGCACAGATACTCTCCGTGGTATCCGCTCCATCCATCACCATCAATCCATCCATGAAACTCTCTCGTACGCGTTGTCGCATAATGCCTGACCGCCCATTCCGAGCTTGTCAAGCTTGCTCAATTGACACGAGTTTGACGTAACTCCACTTTCTGCTTGCTACAGGTGATCTTTTTTGGGGTTACAGTTGAACGTAGTTTATGAGAAGGCCCACTGTTTTAAAACCATGATCTAACATAAAACACAGTCTACAAGCTCCCTGCGCAGACACCACACCTACCATATACCAATACCAAGACGTCTCTCTTCATCCTCGGTCCTCAACACCAAGGTTTAGGGGTAAGTTAGGGGCTAGGGTTAGAGTTAGGGTTAGGTTAAGAAGAAGGCATTAGAGATTAGGGAGTAGGGGGGGGGGGGGGGGGGGGGGGGGGGCGGGCAGGATACGGTTAGTTCAGGGTGAGAACCGGAGAACGACGATCGCATCAACGAACTGTCAAAAAGCATAGAGATATGGAGGAACGACTAGTGAATTGCAGTTTTAAATGAGGGGAGGGTGTCGTGGTTTACGCAGTAGAAGCATTGATAAACCCACACTGAAAGTTTTCTTAGCCGAACTTTTTAAAACCACCGTTCCACTTTTTTAAAACCACATTCGACTGAACGCGCCCGATATTTTCCAGGATTAAGTTGTATCATGACGCTGACTGACCCAGCTGTTAAACAGCCGAGAGCCTACAGGATCAGCACGGACCCCAGTGCAGACCAAGATGGGGAAGAGATAATTAGGGGATTGATTGATTGATATGCTTTTGGCTTTTAGGGTTTTTTTTTTCTTTTTCCTTTTTTTTTTTTCTCTCTACTTTTCTTTTTGCTTATGTATCAGCATTCTTTTCTTTGCAACTCTGGGGTCCGCCAGCTACAAGCCTGTGCGGAGTACGTGGAACCTAAATTCCCGCATAGGCCACCCTGGATCGCCCGCAAAACTGGAGGAAAATAGTGGAAGGTGAACGGTATACGTAGCACAATCGCCACTGTTTTCTGATTCCTCAGCTAAGCATGTTTTTATGCAGCTTTTAATAAAGAAATTTCCCAGCTATCGTTTTTTTAATTTTATTTATTAACTATTTTATTTTATTTTATTTTGTTATTTTTTTGCCTGCTCACAGTCCGGCCAGCTTGGCGCCATTTGGGGCTGGGCGATGGAACAAAAGGGGGCTGTTCCTTTCGCTAAAAAAACTCAACTACCGCTGCGTCCTGCATTGCCCAGTTCCCAAGGCCAAGGTTATTTTGACGAAGAAGAAGACGCAGAAGGAGAAGGCCGCGACAATACAACTTCTCGACTTATTCAGCTGTGGATTCCACTGGATCTGAGATGAAGGATTTCTAGTCAACTTGCTGTTCAAGCCCCATCTATCAAACCCCTGCAAAGTCGTCATCTACGGAGGCGGTGCGAATTTCTGCTTCAAACGTGGCAAAATAACTGCCAGGTGGGATATATTATATGTACTTTTTTTTCGCACGTGTGAAATCATTCCCGGCTATTGTCAATTGTTTTTTTTTTCTTGGAATTTTGTTTCCCCCCCCCCCCAAAAAAAAAAAACCCTGGATAATAATATCGGGAAACAATCAGACATCACCCATGGAATTTCTCGAATCGACATTTCACCCAGGAAATCATGCGAGGGGCCAACAGGAATGGATCGGATGATGTAAACGAAAAAAAAAAAAAAAAAGGTACCTGTGGTGTTGGTACTCCGTAACTATTCGTCAGCTAGGGTTCACGAACTAACTGCTAACTAGCTAGTACCAAAGTTTAGTTTAGTTGCAACCCGTTTTTAATAATAATAATAATAATATACGGCAATTTCTCCTGGTGCTGACGCAGCACTTGTTCTGATCTTGCAGAGCTGGGCCTGAGCCTCATTGGAAGCAGGCTTGCGTCTATTTATGTATCAATCTGACACTTTCTCCATTCTCCACCCACACGCGCGTCATTCACGAAGTATACCATGGATCGCAGCGATTAGGTTGTCAAGGAGGGGGCCGAATGTCGTACCGCGCTGACGAGGGTAGCTAACTTAGACAGAAATAACTACGGGCTTGTTTCTAAGACCAATTAACTGCGAGGGGGAAAAGAGATTATTTGAGGTTGGTTTTTTTCTTTTCCTTTTTCTTTTCTTTTCCTTTTCCTTTTTTTTTTCTTCCTTTATCTTCCTTTTTTTTCCTTTTTTTTTCCCTTTTTTTTCCTTCTTCTTTTCTTTTCTTCTCTTTTCTTTTTTTTTTGGCAGCAGCATCCCATCAGCCTCATGGATATGAAACAAAATTAATTATATACTGTATGAGAGACTATAGGTCATCCCCGTTTCGTCCCAGCATTTGAGATGTGAATATCTCCCGTAGATGCATTATAAGCCTGCTTCGAAGTGCTGGAGAACAGACGCTGACTGCGGAGACGAATAGGAAGAAAGATAGATCTCTTCCAGCGGGCCCTTGCGGATGAGATTATATTTACCCGTCAGCATCTCACCCTGAATCCCGGGAGAGGTCCCGGCAGACCTGCAGGTGTTTTGTTCCTGTGAGTGTTTGGTGTAACAGAATTTTAAACAATGGGGAATGGTATCATTGGGTGGAAGGTCAGGTACGGAGAACAAGGACCCATCACGGATTTCACATCACATACGTAGACCAAGCACCAATGGGTCCCGGACTTGGACTCTGCAAATTGGGTTGTCGCTTGGGCTTGCAGGTTTTTGTTACGGTGGTATTTTTACCCTGTATTTCAGCTGGGTGTTTTTTTTGTATGGAAGCTTGGTTATTATTACACCCTTACCACTATTTATCGCTGGGCATGGTATTTTTAAGGTGTTGCGTGGCTGAAACACACATGAGGCAAAAATATCAGAGCGCTTTTAAAACCTCTTGGTTGTCAAATACTGCCTGCCCATGGGCTGATGGCATCACACCCGTCTGGCTCACTGGCATCTGCCGTTTATTATTATTATTATTATTTTTTTTTTAATCTTTGACCGCCCTGGTTCGCGGTTTTAGCGTAGCTGGTCTGTATGGCACCTTCGACTGGCAGGTACAGGAGCTTATATATTTGCCTCGATCGACCGTCTTGGAGAACAACATTGGCCCGCTTGATATGCTTTGAAACGTCGATCAGGGGCGACTTATTTTGCAAAAATCACATACTTTTTTTTTCAATTTTGCTGGTACATCAGTTATAATATATCGACTAAAGAGACCCTATATGCAGAGGTTTTCTTTTTTATATAAGTGGTGGTATGCAAAGAAATAGTAAAGACGAGTTGGATTCAAAAACGCCTGGTTTCGGGGTAAAAATGGAGGGTTGGGTAATACACGCTGTACGGCATAGTTACAGTGTAGCTTGTATAAACAGGTTATTTAAGGTTATTTAAGTGTATTATTGACGTATGTACAGGATGTTATTTCATACAGTACCAAAGGTTAACTGTAGTCATTAAAGATAAAGTCGTACGCTGAGTCAGCATTTTGGATATTTTTATTGGCTCGTTGGGCAACAACAGGGGTCATACTTCGTAAAAATGTATGGTAACTTCTGTACCGTACCTAGACCTTTATCCACCTATTTTGTTGGTAAAGTTTGTCGGATGCCTACCATATCAACTACTGGCCTAGAACTATTGCACAAATACCGGCAGATATAATACTTCAGTTACTATATTTATCTAGGTAAAAAATACAAACAAGATGAACCCCATAACTGTCTCTATTTTAGTGACCACTGCACCATCCCAGAGCAGGTTGTTATGGCGCAAGTTCTAGAAAACTGGAGAAAGCAGTGGTCTGTAAGTGCGCTCCCTCTGTGCTGTATGTATGTGTAAATGTCTCTCTGTATCGTATATACCTGGACTCACCGCGGCATGTGTTCGGTGGCGGTCATACAGAGCCTGGCTAAGTCATAGTAATGGGCAGAGACCGAGTAACTACCGAGGTTTGTTTCAGTTCAGTGCGTAACAGCGATACACAAACACCTCCTGTATTTAGTAATACACGAATTCATTACGGAACACCCGTTTGCGTCCTGTCAACTATGATAGACTTAGCCTCACCTGATGCGGACAAGCCGCTCCCCCGTCCCAACCTCGCGATCAAAGAAAGCATCGAAACAGACCTTGGTGCAATACCCTGAATTCGATCGTTTGGACTATCCTTTTCTCCCTTCTTTCACCTCCGCTATCTCACCCTCCCTCTCCAGGGCTGTTTACATATCTTGATCCGCTGATCTTCTTTGTTTTCCTCATTCGTTCATTTATCATACTTGACGCCTAGTTGTTTTCGCTTTCCGTTTATCTCTCGCCTTGAACCTGACTGTGCACGCCGAATCTCATCCCACTGCGACTGTCCGCTTCTTCCGTCTGGGACTTCTTTGAAACAAACGGCGTAGCGGGTTCACCGCAACCTTGGAAGTGCTCCTCCGCGTTCTCTGCGTTCCCTCGAACTGCCAAACCGAAGATCTGCGTTAGCGCATGTCGATGTCTGTTGTTTAAACGTCGTTGAAAATTCTTCTTTGGACACATTCTTTCGAACGCTGGTTGAACGGCGGATTTGCTAGTGCCTCTATCTTTGTTGATTTTTTTTTTTTTGTTTTGTGTGGGAGAGTGGTGGGTAGTACAGTTTGGTGTGTGTCGTGGGCTAGTGAATCTGGACCTTTTGGATCCGGGACATCACCCGTGGTGAACTTGACTGGTATGTGGATGGGCTGGTTGGCGATTGGACTGTGCGGTTATGGGAACAATCGAAGTCGACTATCGTATCCTATGAACAATAACGGCTAATAATATCTTTCTGGATTCAGCGGAATTTAAAAATTCAACATGTTGCCCCCTCCACGCCCAATTCAGTCATTCCAAGGACAAGATCCCCAACCACCTGCATTTCGAGACTCGTCCCAACGTCGTCGTACCGACCTCGAGTCTGGCGGATATTTAGACAATCCCTCCACCCCCGTATCGGGTGGACGAAGGAATAATGGCGACTTTGGGGCCTCCACACCTTTTGGGGTAACTCCAACAAGTGAGGCGGACCCCATCATGTCTTCAAAGAATTTGAACCGGAAAAGGAGTTTGATTCGCCCAGAACGAACCCGCATGAATCGTGACCATCCAAACTACCATTACCGCCAACATGCGCAAAACATGGCGACGTTACCTTCCACGACCGGGAACGAGCCTGTGTATGAATGCGGAGAGGCGGATACGATGAGCTCGGGAAGTACAGATCTAAAGAGCCTAACTAGAACCGAGCAGAGTAATATCACCCCCAGCTATCCTGATCGCGGGGTTCGTTCGGGCAAATTCAAAGGCCACCATCCATCACAGCGAGACGGGCCCAAGAAGCTTTCACAGAGAAAACTGTCGCGGAAGGAATCCACGGCCGCCAGAGAGGCGGAAAAGAGGCGGCAGGAAGAGCTAGACGCTATTAAGCCCCCAAGTTTCTGGAACGTGTACTGTGGCATGGTGACTTTTTGGTGTCCCGATTTCATCCTCAAATGCTTTGGAATGCCTGCAAAAGCACAAAGACGAGCTTGGCGTGAGAAAGTTGGTCTCATCAGTATAATCCTGCTGATTTGTACCTTTGTTGGATTTCTCACCTTTGGCTTTACCCAAGTCGTCTGCGGTACACCTAGCCTTCGCCTCAAGATAAACGAGGTCGATGTTGGAAATATTATCTTCCATGGAAAAGCGTATAGTATGGAGGGCACAGAGCATCCCGAAGCCCTCGGGGTACCTGATAGGACGAATGTTGCCTATCCGCCTGTTGGATACGGTGGTTTGGATGCCAGCTTTTTGTTCCAGAATGTCAATGGTGCTTGTAAGGGCATCATCACTGCGGTACCAAACTCGAATGTGCCAACAAACAGTGAGGGAGAGTTAGCATGGTACTTTCCGTGCGTGCCTTTTAAGCAGGATGGTTCCAGCAGACCCAATTTTACCGAACCGCCGTACTTAGGATATTCTTGCCATACGTCTGCAAGTGCCAGAAGCACCTTCTACACCAGGTTAAACAAGCCTGGAGATGTGTATTTCACGTGGGAAGACTTGAAGAATAAGTCCAGAAACCTGATGGTATATTCAGGAAATGTTCTTGATTTGAATCTTCTGGAATGGTTTGACAGATCCCAAGTTTTTGTTCCCCCTCAATTCGACGCGCTCAGAACAAATCCGACCGTTCGAGGTATTGACGCGACACATATATTCCAGTCGCCCGCTGATAAACGGTTGGCGAGATGTTTGACCGAAATTATCAAGGTTGGGTCCATTGATACCGAGACTGTGGGCTGCATCTCCTCCAAAGTGGTTTTATACCTCTCCTTGGTATTTATTCTAGC